GCTGAAACTTCAAGGGCAGTCCCATGTAGAGCTCATTGCAGTAATCACTCCTAAGGTGACCAAGGGTTGAGCGACCATGAATAGGACCTCCCAGTCCAGGAAAAGACACAAGCTGGTGTCCAAGTTGTAACTGTGCAAAGGCACCCTGTTCTCGGCTCCAGTGTAAAATAGCCTGGCTTGTATCAATTTGACTCAAAGTATTTGCCTTATGTTAGCATCTTCTACAGCATTTTGCGATTTGGCATTTTAATATAAACTTAAATAAATCCATAAATAATGTGGATCTTTGTTTTCCTTTGCAGTAATTAACATCAAATCTGTACATTTATGCTTGGCCTTTATTAATGTACTGATATGCGCTTGGAGGGCTTAACATATTTCTCTGCTCCCTGAAAGAGCCTTCTAAAGTGAAACAGTATTGTCATCTACAGTATATTTCCAGTAAGAGAATGATGCTATGGAAGTTACTACTTTCTGTCATTACAATGGAGATTGCAATAGTCATGTGCATTCTTTCCAGTGTTATTGCAAAACATTTGAAAGTGCCCATCTTTTCCAACAGAAATAAATAGACCTGGACATATGCAATAATGAAATCCTGATCGCTAGATGGCAGTATTGACACATATATTGAATAATAAAATCTTTAAGGCACATGTTCCTTTGACAAATCAATAATGTTTTGCTACAAAAATCAAATATGCATATACTCACCTCCATGTACTTACTTACCTGTTTTCTAGGTAGGATAGGTTATCCATTGATACCTTTACAAACCCTAGGATTGTACAGATATGCACGTAGGAAGTCCGGGCAAAGCAAAAGAAAGCATTTTCTTGTACAGTGTACAGATTTGGATCCAGCATCCCTGTAAATAAAACTCCACTTTCATGAGATTCCTATTAGAAGAAAGGGGAAGACACTTTGGTTGACAATTTTCTCCCACACCCCCACTTCAGACCCTAAAGAAAGCTGTTCTGGGTGGCTGGGAGATTTTTCTGGAATAATGCAGGAGTTGCCATAGAGGACTGCAAAGGGAAGAAGAATTAGGCAAAGTCATCTTCCCTCCTTCCTCCACAAGATCTCAGCCTGTTCTGCAAATGGTGTGTATCCTCTAGTTTTCAGGGATGCTGCAAAGCCTTAATATGGTTAGTTTGGCTTTGTCTAAATGTATTGCATGAAATCAACATTGCAGTTAATAAACAATGGGTGATGGTTTAGAGCAACGTATGAGTCAGGCCTCGTGGCATCTTCAATGAAATCAGTTAAGCAAAACTTGGCTTAGAGGAGTGTGTGAACCCAGTCTCTGAATCCACCCAGGGTGAATGAAATTCACTGCCACAAGATGTGATTGTAATCATGAGTTCACATATTTCCAAACAAGACTTGCTGGATGGGATATAGAAGATATGTCTATCAACAACTTTCAGCCATAGCAGCAACATTTATTACTTTATTTAGTATATTTATATACTGTGCACTCTCAGCAGGGCCAGCTCACAATCATTTCTAGCAAATACAATAAATAACAAATCTGAAAAATAAGATATTTTGATATATGCAACCTTTTAACATATAGCAATATAATAAGAACATCCCAACTGTATATAAAAGTAATGTACATTTTCAGTCTCACTAATTTTTAAAAGCAATTGCTGAGAAATGAACAAATCATGGCTGCTGCTTTCAAGCCCTGTGGAGTGGGTTTTCCAGAAGCATCTAGCTAGCCACAATGAGATTAGAATGCTGTATAAAGTGGCTTAGCTCTGGAGAATTCAGTGCTCATGCTTAATCCTGCATTTTCTCTCCAGTTTGGGATAAGATCAGTTTAGGATCTTCCCTTGCAGTAAGGGTATTCCTTCTTCTGTCCAACCATCTGATTGTCTCTTGAAGTTAGTTCTGTCTATCTGTCACTGTGATTGGTTATGCCATAAGGCAATAATCACAGCTGCCATGTAGCACTCTTGAAATTCCAAATGGGTCTACCGGTAAAAAAAAAAATTGGGTGAGCCTTAGCACTCTCCTCCAGCCCCAATAAGCACTGCTCAGGGCTCTTCTGAGAAAGAATGGTATGGAAATAAGTTAATAGTGAAACATATATACAGTATCCTGTGTATTAAAACATTTAAGCATCTGTATTATATGCATTAGTGGTAAAAGCTTCACCAAACAATGCTGACCCTTCTCAATACAAGTAGTCCTTGCTTAACAACAGTAATTGGGATTGGCAACTCTGTCACTAAGCGTGATGTCATGTGACCGCGCCAACTTATGATGGCAGTTGCAGCAATTCTGGTTGCTGTTGTTAGATAAATCCAGCATGGTTGTTAGGCATGTTGTCATGTGATCGCCATTTGTGACCTCCTGCCAGCTTCCCCATTGATTTCCTTGTCAGAAGCTGGCAGTGAAGGTCGCAAATGGCGATCAAGTGACCATGGGACTCTACGACTGTCATAATTGTGAGCTGATTGGCAAGCCCCCAATGCCACAGTGGGTGCCTTGGATCCCCTTGGTAGGTGAGATTGGCTTTCATCTGCAGAATTTCTGAAGTCTTTTTCCTCTAGTCGAAGGAATTATATATATATATATTTTAAAAAACCCCTTAATATAAGGATATTGTATGTTATGAAGTAGGAAGTTCTGTTAGTATTTATGCCTAACTACAAAAAAAATGTTGTCAGTTCTTATTTCCTTAGCAACATTTGGATTGCTTTGTTGTGTTTGACCACAGGATTGAAAAAAGCCCATGACCTTTTTTTTTAGACCCTTTTTAGAATGACATTTGGATATTGGCACATCTGCTTCCTTGCTTGTGCTCTTGATGAGTTTATGCACTGAATACATTTCACAGATACTTCCAGACTTGCAGCAAGGTATCTAAAAATGCCACATACTATAATAACTTATACCTAATACTAGGTTCTGAGTTAGGGTATCTAAACGTTGAAGGCTATAGGTTGTCCCATAGGGGTGAGTGCTAGTGGGACTTGCTTCCAAATAAGTATGTGTTAGAACTGGGCTAGCAATATAATTTGCACATTTGTGTATAACAGCAATGGCGAACCTTTTGGGCTCGGCATGTCAAAAATTTGAAAAATGCCTAACTTGACTCTGCTGATGTGTCACCCCCCCCAAACAAAAGAGAAATAATTCTTTACATATTCATTTATTTTAAAAAAAATACAGTCCAATCATTTGTGGTGCTATGTATTATATAAAGAAACATCAGATACTTACAAAAATGAAAGACAAGTAAAACAAATTCAGTTTCTTTGGTAACTCAAACAGGGAGAACAGTTGTTGTTGGGTGTTGGTGAATGCTGGCATGTCACCTTTGACATATGTATCATAGGTTCGCCATCACTGGTGTATATTTTCTTCACTTAGTCGCTAATGAGCTGAAAAGCAATCAGAGAATGATCTGTCCATGGCAATGGACTGATGTAAATGTCCTTTATTGCCGGATTACATCACAACTGCCCCAAGACTAAACAGGATCTAATGTACAGCCATTGGTATGCGTCGGACCATCAGTGACTTGGGCAGGTCCATAGTTTCCATGGAGGCCACAGACTCCTGAACCGCCTGGAACTCAATGCCACTAGGTGGCAGATAAAAATCTCCAAGCACTATTAGCACTGTTGCCAACCCAGTCCCAAAATCAATCAGTTCAGGGAAAGTGGTATACCCAATTGCTCCCTTAACCCCAAGTTCAACCAAAGCGACTCACATCCATTTATTTGCGGAGTGGAGCCTCTGAAAACCTGTAATGGATCACAGATGACAACAGCAACCCCTCCTCCTCTTCCCTGGGACCTTGGCTGGTGTAGAACCTGAAATCTGGGTGGGCACAAGTCCAAGAGAGGTACAGTCCCCTCTGAGCTCAACCAGTGTGAAGGAATGGTTGGGTGAAGGCT